TAAAAAAGTATGTTGGACTGAGAGGTCATTGCAGGGTGGTTTCTATTCAAAACTAAATGTTATATTTTCATTTGTGTTAGCTGCACTTACTCAGTCTAGCGGCCTAGCAGCAAAGTTTGTCATCCACTGTCACATCCCACAGTGGGGCTCAGACAAGTGCGAAGAGCAGCTTGAAGAGACTATAAAGAACTGCTTAACAGCTGCAGAAGACAAGAAATTGAAGTCCGTGGCTTTCCCCCCGTTTCCCAGTGGCAGGTATGACTCTTTCTGCATGCACGGGGATTCTGTGTCGGGTAGCAATGGTATAATTAGCTGTCAGAGAGCTGCTGCTGTGATAGAGAGGTGCCCTCTGGTCTCTGGCACAAAAGGGGCTGACCCTGCCTCCAGAGAGGGCTGTGGCAGGTGCCTTCTGACATTTAATCTGAAATTAAAGGAGCCTGAAGTGCCCTGCTTGCACGGAATGACCAGAAAGCCTTTATATTGATAAATTAGCTGACCCACAGGAGAGCTGAGTGGGCTTGCTGTGTTTTCTATTGCTAGGCAGTAATATTCATTCTTCTACTAGGGGCCTGCACCACCTCAGTTTTTATATCCCTTCATTTTGCTGTGGTGAGTCTTATTGAAACTACATTTGTACTAACAAAATTATACCGGCATAATACTGAAGGCGAGTAACAGTGACACAACCCGAGCTAGATAAATGCAGGGTATTCACTTAAGTCATCTCGAGAATATATATTAAACAGACTAGTCACACAAAATGTTTTCTTTCAAAGAAAATCAATGTTTCTCAAATATAGTTCTGCTTTAAAAAGGGAACTGTGAAACTACACATTTCTTTCTCAATAACTAGCAAATAAAAAGTGCTTGACTAAGAAATCCAAAGGTTTTTTCTTTTTTTTTTTTTTTTTTCTTTTTTTAAACCAACAGTTTATTAATCTTGCTTGGCCTCTGATCACAAGAAACCTTACACAAGCCCTGCTAACTGCAGAAATTGTTCTTTTGTGTTGGATTTTGCACTCTTATGTTTAATTTGACACGTAACTACTGATTTTGTTAGTAATACCCAAAGAGTAGAGTACATAGTACAGTCCAGTTGTGTTGGCCTAGTAGTGAATAAAATGAAAGTAAAACTGCATTTTAATCAGTGAAATCATCACATGTCACTGAATACACAGGAGGTGAAAATGCCGTTTTTACACAGGCACTTTTCAAGACAAAGTAATATTTTTATGGATCAGGACAAAAGAATAAATAGAGGGGCAGTGCAATTTTTAACTAATTTTTTCCTTTATACACAGTTCTTCACGTACAGTGTTCAGTCCAAGAAAAATGTGATAAATTTTTTTACCACTCTTTAGTAATAAAGGTCAGCTTTCAAAAATGAACTGTAGCTTTTAATGACAATAGAAATAGTCTCTGTAGACCTCATGTCTCCTATAAGCATTATATAAGAATAATCTTGGAGCACTGGAGAATATTCTCTATTGGAGAACAGTCTTGGAGCATTAGTCTTAGTGCAGATCCTTCTGCTGCTTAGTTCCATTTCGCTCTTTGTTGCTCTTACTCTTATTTTCTGTTAGCAGGAATCTTATCAGGTGCTGCGGGTTTATATTTATCAAAGGACCTCAACGTTGTCTGGAAAAAAGCAAGAGGTTTTCAAACAAGACTTAATGGTTTTGCTCTCAGTTTATTCCACCCACATTTCTGCACAAGAAATGCTGGGTATGTTGGGTAGATCAGGAATTACACTGTATCAGTTCTGTGAATGTTCATCTTTCCTCTGTCCCGTTTTAGGGACTGTTTACAGTGACTGATATAATGTAGCAATAGATGGGCTATCTCAATTGTGCCAGGGCTTTTCACCTCCGTGATCTTTTTCATTAAAAAGTAGAGAAATGCAGTTGAGATGAAATTGCTTGTGCTGTGATGCAGATATAAATGAACTGAAAACGTTTTCTAAAAGTCCTTATCGATAGCTTCCTGCGAGAAAGGTGTATTAGCTGGATTGCTGCAGATGCTGTCCAGGGACTAAAAGTAGGAAAATCTGTTTGCTAGTAATTGTTTGGATTACAGTGAATATGGATACAGCAGTTGTTGATGACCATAGTTTCCAAGCTCTTTTTTGGATGTTTTTTAATATAAATATGATAAGTAGTCTCAAATCACTAATGTGAAATTGAGTAAGGAGAAGTGAGTAGTACTAAACTTAGAAAGGGAAATAAAAACAAATGTACATCGCAGTGCTATCAGAGAAGGGGAAAAAGAAAAAACACTGCAAAGACAGCTCTGGATGCTATTAAGAGAAATACCGTAATTTTTCAAGTGTGAGGATTGTTAGGCAGTGGGATGGCTTATCTCTGTATTTTGATGTAACCCCATCACTGAAGATCTTTTAAGTATAGGTTAGACAAACTTTTTTCAGAAGCAGAAACGTTATTTGTAATCCTGCCTTGGAGGAAGGACATGGGCTAGGCTGTGCTGCCCGATTTTTTTTTTTTTTTTTTTTTTTTTTTTTTGGCATGGATCTAACTTCCTCTGGAGCATTATCATGCAGTAGAATCTAACCAGGAGGCATTGAACTCACGAGCAGCCAGCAGTTGTGCCCAAATACCCATCTGAAATCTCAGCTGGGTCTTAACTCACATTCAGACAATTCAGTATGTCCCAGTAAAGTCTCACCCAAACTCTCCAAGGTATGTGGTTTCCTACATGCTCATCGACACGCATCAAAACTGCATCGATACTCTTCAGTCTTGTGCAAAATCAGCAGAACTATTACAGGCATTGACAAGCAGCAGAGAAACTCCAGCAGGGACTGCAGGAGAGGAGAGCGTCCTTCCCTCCAGACGTGGGTGGCAGACACACACATGTATCGCTTCAGGACGGGCTGCTTTCTAGGTCAGGGAATCTGTTTAGCGTCTAAGTAGAACAATGCGGAGACGTGCCTGAGCATGAGCATACTGCAAGGCAGAGTATTTCATTAAATAGGCATCAGGTTCAAACTGTAGAACAGTTCTTGAAATGATGTCCAGTATTACAGCAGCCGTATTTGTATATAAGCAGAGATACAAAGCAGCTGACCTTCATAGTAGCTGTGCTCTTTGCAGTGTGCTCTCAGCCAGCTCCCTTGGAGCGCGGAGATGAGGGCGATGGAACTGTGTTGCAGCTGAATGGTTTTGTGACTTGAAAAAGGAGTATGAGAATGATTAAGATGGAAAAAATGCGGCTGCCAAGAAACCTGAATCTCAAGGATGTGGGCCAGGTGCCCCAAGAGATATCAACACAGTTGAAAAGTCCAAGTACTGTAAAGACTTCCAGCTTTTCAGATTGTAGGTTAGATAATATTACCATCAAAATGAATGAATGAATGAATGTGTCTTGGCCTTAATTTGGCTCAGGGTTGTAATTTCAATCATTCTCACTAAAGTCTCAAGTAAAGTGTTTTTAATGACAGAGTGAGGAAGTCAACTAAGTAGTTGATTGGGTTTTGGTTTGGTTTTGGGTTTGTTTTTTTCGGTTTTCAACTAAAAAAATAATCATCCCTTGAACTTTTCAGCCTGCCCAGCATGGCATAGCAAAGTTTAGTTCCAAGGGAAAGCATTAAAAATCTTTCTGTGGTTATAAAAAGCAGAAGCAAATGAAAACCATAACTATGCCAGCAAGGAAACTAATACAGCAGCAGACAAATATTGCTATCAGAACCTCGGGGTTTGCTTCTGGGATTTACACATTGCAAAATTGCAACTGGTGCTGTCTTAACAGCAGCCGGTAGTTGGTACAGCTGTGGCTTGTTCCTTTCAGCACCACGTGTGCATAATGCTTGCACAGGTGGCTGACACTCACTTGTTCTGTTTTCTTCCCCTACCACATAGAAACTGCTTCCCAAAACAGACGGCAGCCCAGGTGACTCTAAGAGCTATTTCCACCCATTTTGACGGCTCCAGCTCTTCCTCCTTGAAGAACATTTACTTTCTGCTCTTCGACAGTGAAAGTATTGGCATCTATGTGCAAGAAATGGCCAAGCTAGACACTAAGTAGCAACGGCAGCCAAATGAAACTTTATTTTTCAACAAACTTGAGTAGCATTAAAAGCATTAGAGGTGGGTTTTATTTTTTCAATGTGATGAGGAGGGGGAGTGGTAGTAGTGTGATGTGTTGTGACTTGATGAAGAGCTGTGACTAGAGATAAAAGGGGCTTAGTCTGATTTCTCCATGCTATCAGCATCCTCTAGCCATTTATATCACCCTAAGCAATTGAGTTACCATCTCTTTTCAGGAGTTTTAGTGTCCCTTGTTACTTTAGTTTAGAAGTTTTTAAAGAGTAACCTCATTTTAGATTTGTAGTGATAAATTTTACACACACACACACACACACGCACACACACACACACACTTTAAAGAAAGCTCTTAAAAATGTTTGGTTCCCTTTTCCCCTCCCTTGAGGGTAGATGGTAAACTTCTGCCGCCAGCCCACAGAGAGGGGAAAAGGATTTTAGAAGTGATGCATGAGGAGCTTCTGTTTTGCTTTTAACTCACAATAATCTCTGTAATTACTGAGAATATTTCATGGTGATTTTGTTTGTTTTATAAGAAAAAAAGAAAAAGATGCGTCAAGTGTGGTTATTGTTATAAACCCTACTTTTGCTCTGGAAATTTCTCAACAACCAAAAAAAAGCAGCAGCATGTGTAATTAAGTGCTTGCTGTATCACACTTAGCACACAACTAACCAGCTCTTTTGGCTGAATATAGGTACTATAAATGACATAATTAAAGCTGCTGTGGAGATGTAGACACAAAGCTGCATTATATTCTGTTGAGTTCCAGGATTACCATAGCTTCTTCAAGGCTTTAGGTGAGCTTTCCCCAGGCAGCGCTGCGGGCCATTCTTCCTGCGTGCTGCAGAGCAGATTCCAGATCTGCAAGAGGCAGGTACTTTTTAGAAGAGCAAGGGCAGAGAAAGCCAGGGAAAAACCACATAACAAACCAACCACAGAGATTTTGAAAACCACGGTGTTTATTGTTACAAATCAAGGTAAACCAAGTTTCTTGCTCAGAGCTATCTCAACAGGGAAGTAAACAGAAGATTCCTTCCCTGCTTTTTTATCACGAGAACTTCTGTGCACTTCATTTGGAAAGTACCTCCTTCCCCTTTACAGCAAGGCAGGGCCCCCCTTTAGTGTGGCACACTGGCAGGCGGCTTTAGGCGGTGCTGCAGGAGACGGTATCAGTCTGTCCAAGCAATACAAGTGCACCCTCACCCTCTCCCAGTTGCTGTATTCCTTGCTGGTTTGTTACCCATCCCCTCTTAGGAGGGCATTTTCTGTCCCATTGTCTTCCAGCTCTTGGAGACAAAGAGGTCCCGGCTCTTAGCAATGGTCACCAAGAGACGTCCCACGTAGTAACCGTTCACCTGGCCTACGCCATCATTCCTGCCCATTGAAAGCAGGAATGTTAGTGACCCTGGAAAGAAGGTGGAGAGGCTTAAGTTAAGCAGTTTCCAAGCTAAGTATCAAACCCTACTCCACGTAGGTGTTGGGCTTCCTCCAAATCCCCTCCTCTCATTGCCACCCCCCTTCACACCCCCCACGTACTGCTAAGCACAGGACTCATGTGCTGCAGGAAAAGAAAAGAAGCAGGCCCAAGGGGAACTACTCACAACTCTGTCCTTTCTACTCTCTGTTCTACCTCTTTCGGTAATGGGCTTGCTGAAGGATTGGGCTGCCTGTGTGCATGGTGTAGAATGATTTCTCCCACGAGGGAGTCCAAGAGGTAGACTACAAAATTTAAGTAGAAATAAATGTAAATGAATGGGGCAGCCATTAAAACCCAAACTGCTGTCCAGATATCCTCCATCCACGTGGAACAGCTTTCAACATAGTTATGGTAAGTATTTACATCAGCTGCTTATTAATGAGACCCATCACCTAGCTAGATTTTCGAGACTAGATTAGTCAGTTTTTGTTTGTTGTATAGTTTAAGGGGAGAAAGGGGGAGAAAGTCAAGTCAACTCCTTGTTCCTAGGATTCAGTTGGACAGTAAGCAATTTAAAGAAAAGGAAACAAGTTTGGTGACCAGCAGACACCCACCAGTAGGTTTATCAGGAAGATGTTAGTGAAGGAAGGACACGTTGTGTCCGTAGACTGACACAGGTAATTAATGTCTGCAGTGTCTTTGGCAAGAACTAAGGTGAAGCTTGAGCTATAAGCTCATCTAAGTCAACCCCAATTGTGAGCTCCATCACTTCTAATCAGTGACCCATTAAGTTCTGATGTGTATGTGTTAAACAGCTGTTCCCTGCAGAAAAACAGCCCAAGAGCCAAGGCCGGGTGCTAGGAGACTACCTTACCTGGTTCGTAGGTTTTAAGAGGCTTATGTGTCAGGCTGTTGATGATATTTGTCACCACGATGTTGGCATGGAGCCCAGCGTGGTAGGCCATCTTTGGTTCCTTCAGATCTGCACAGTCCCCAACAGCATAGATGTTCTCATAGCCTTCCAGCTGGAGGTGCTTGTTAACTTTCAGAGCACGGTTACTTGCCATTTTGTCCCCTGTTTTGCCAAACAATAAGTTTTCAGAAAGACGTTTGTGTTGCTTGCTCTGGCCCGAAATGCTGATGATGTTATCAAGCATGTCATTGACACAAAGTGAAGAGTTGGTTTTTCACCCTCTTTTCTACACATTAGGGAAGAGATGCTGTTTGCCTTGCTGTAGTTAATTATTGCAGTCTCATGCAATGAATCATCCTTTGATATTTCAGTAGAAACATCAAGAGCTGGCGTATACAGCCTGAGAAAGAGACTGTATCATGTTAATACAGCTCCACAGTTGCAGTGCCATAACTGAAATTGGGCTGCAAGACTCAGACTGAAGATTTATCACCGGATAACTAGTTGGCTGAATGCCCTGTGTCACTGATAGTTCAGCAAGAGAGCTGGATGTGCTCAGCTTCTTCTTGCTCAGAACTCAGTAAACTTAGATCTGGGATGAAATCCTGGCCTTGACAGCAGCAGTTACCATCAACTTCTAGGTGTCATCTGCCTCGTGCTGAACTGGGACACTAAGGTTCCTTGGAGGTATTAGCAGAAGGAGCCGGAGAAGACTGTTGGCCACTTGATCTATGATCTGTAAGTTTTCAAAGGTCACGTTTAAGGTGGTGTTAGAGCATTTGCTCTATGGTGGAATAACCACCGCAGGTTGTGCAAGGTTCCTAACCTCACAGTACTCGAGTGCAAGACATGGAAGAACTGTGTTGCTTCTCCCCACCCAGTGTTTTTTTCACTTACCAAATGCAGCAGCGTATGCTGAAGAGTTAATCTTTATCCCCGTGCACAGGACCACCATGTCGACGACCACCTCAGTGCCCTTTGCTGTCCTTACTACCATGTCCTTCTGGAACCGGTTTGGTGGGAGGTTTTCTATATTGCTGACCCTTTCACCTGTGGCAACAGAGAGCCCTGGGTGACAAACCGTTACTAGCCTGCCCTTTCCAGCTAGCCCAGATGTTTCTAGAGAAGCAGGAATTCAAGGGAGCCATGCTGCGCCAAAAAAAAAAAAGTCAGAAATAGGATGACAAAGAGATGCTTTAGCTAAAGGAAGAGCAGCTTACAGCTCTTCAGAGGCGACAGTAAGTACGTACTTAAGAGGAGGCGCACTCCTTTTCTGAGGAGAATCTCTTTCACCTCCTGACGGACGCTATCTAGCAGCTCGGGATCCGCTAGTGCAATTTTTGAGTGAATGAGGGTGACCTGTTGGGGACAAAACAGCAAACAGGGGGATGCGGTAACGGGACAGGACTTGCCGGGTGGGGGCAGCTTTCTTTGACCCTGCTTAATGCCCAAGGAGAGTGAGCCAGCAAAAGGCATCTGGTGCCAGTCATTGCTGGTGACGGGCTATAGGGCACTCTGAGAAGAGGAGGCAGTGGCGGTGAAGGCTGGCACTGCGCAGAAACTCCTGATCTGCAGCGATCTCGGGTACCTCCACAGCAGGACCGTCACTGAAGAACAATCTCGGAAACCAGGATTAAGTTAATTGTAAGTAGTATGCTACTACTACCTCTTTGGCTGGGTATTCTGTTTTGATCTCTGCAGCCATCTCAACTCCAGCGGCACCACCTCCCACTACCAGGATGCGCTCAGATTTCTCAATCTTGAAGTAGAGAAGAAACTCGGGTTACAAGAGAACTGCAGGAAGTCAGACGGACCTTTCTGAGATACAGCACTGGCCCAACAGCAATTAACCACCTACTTCATTAAGAGGAAACCAAAACCAAGAACCCCGTGCGCTCTTCCTGTGTACACTTGTAACACTGTTGAGCATTTCAGGTTTTCTCCCTCCCCATGCGGACAGATGATCTTCCCCTGGGGCACGCAGAATGCTAAACAAGCTAGCACATGCTCCTGGTCCTGGTCTGTACCTGCAGGCAACACGGTCTTGAGACACGGGTGGCTCCAGGGACCCATAGCGGGTGTCTGGGACAGGGAAGCTGAACAAAGGCAAGCGAAGCTTCCTGTGAAATAAATTGATTCCTCACCTCCTTAACCATGTCTTCGTAGCTCTGGATGGCACTTTCCATGTCAACGGCTTTGTTGCACTTCCCAGGGAACGGCCCATCGCTGCCTGTTGCAAGAATGAGATGGGAGTAGCGAAGCTCCTGGGAGGGGAGAAGGTGGAATGGGATGTTAGACCTCTGAAAAACATAACCTGAAACACAGTCGTTGCCTTGTAGATATTATTCACTCACTCCCTCTCCTCCAGCCCTTGCTGATAATAAGGAAAGTGATTGCCACTGTCAGTGACTTTAGGAAGAGACTTAGTCCAGGTGACACCAAGCAACTGTCTTCCTCAGGGTCTGAGAGAAGCACCGTTCTTCAGGTGAGCTGAGTCGTTGAGGAAATTACCATCAGTTTACAGGAAATAACCTGATACTTCTGGCAGATACTGGGGCTACCACCACAGCTGGCTCCAGAGACTGACTTCTCTCCTTCATCCTCTTCTGAACAGAGATGAGATGCTCTGGCTGAGAAGAGTTAGCAGAGAGCTACTGCCCTTGTTTCTTCCTGCAGTTGGTTAGATAAGGATCTGAGCTCCAGGGTTAATTGTTGAGCTGGAAATCCAGCTCTAAAGAACAAAAGCTCATCTGAGCACTAGATGGGGCGCGGTATTTACTGCACACCCGAATCCTATCACAGCTCTAGGCCCCTTCGCTTGGCTAGAAGGGATGGTGCCATTCAGTGCATGCAGGGGAAGATGGTCTCTGTCACCAAGCTCTTCAGGATGATTTAACGTTACAGTTTTTTCCCGAACTGCCTCTTGGTTTTAGACGAGATGGCCGAGGGGGCCAGCTCCTCTCTGGGGCAGCCCTCTGCAGAACTAAGTCGTTGGTTTCATTCCTCTCTACCTTCTAGTGTTACAGGGCCAGTATGAAGCTTGAGCGTTTGTGTAGCTGCCCACTGGTGGCAGAAAGCTAGAGGAAAGCAGGCAGTGACTTTCCCGAGGGCTTGGTCAGGCATTTGGGCCAAGCTGAGGGTTACATCTGGACAGAAACCCTGTGGTGCATGTGAACTCTGAGCCTGGGGGTATTGGGCAGGTCAGGGTTCGTGTGCTCAGCTGGCCCACACCGCAGAGGCGGGGTTGCCACAGCAGAACTGCATTCCCAGCTCTCATTCAAGGAGAGCAAAGGTCCATTTTTTTTTTTTCCCAGAGCCTGATTCTGTCCTGCACACACCCACCCCCTCCTCTGGCAGATGAGAGTTACACTCCCAGCCCAGAGGCACGTTTTCTGTAGGTGCCCTGTGGCCCTGCTCATCTCGCTCTTTTCCCCCCTCTCCCAGAGGATTCCAAGCATGGACAGCAGTCTGAAACCTAAATTCCAAGTCGCTGCTCCAACCAGGCCTCACCAGTCAAAGCCAACGTAGCCTAAATTCGGAGCACTGCATTCTCACATAGCTGAAGGAGAAGCCCTGAGGAGGAGAGATTCACCACACACCCTGCCGAAGGCTCGCTCCCCGCGTTAGCAGGTGATCCCGTAAGGCAGCCAAGTCACTCACGGCAAGTTCCTGCATCACCCACCTCACCATCACTGAGCAAGACTTGTTGCCTCTCGGGGTCTATGCCAACAACCTCGCCTTGTCGGAAGCTGTCCCCAAAGGTGACGGAGTAGGAGATGAAAGTCTTCTTGGCAAATCCTGTGGTAAGAGGAGACAACAGGGGAGAGCTCTCCCTCTGCAGAGCCTGACAGACCCCTCTTCCTTTCTCCCCTCTTCCCCTTCTCCCCTCGGGCCACCCTTGCTCAGACAAAAGCACTGTATGCACCTGGGGCCGCTGCTGTGTGTTATCTCTGCCCAGCAATGAGCTTCAGGACTTTTGCCTGGGATTTGGTGACAAGATCTCAGAGGCCAGGTGACACCCTTGGCTAGACTGCTTTGTCTCTGCTCCCTATAGAGAATCCCCTCTACTGCTTTGCCAGCAAGTGCTCCACTGGCGCCCGGGGCATTTCAGGCAGGATGTCAGAGGCTTTCTGTCATGTTATCTGCCTCTCAGACCAAGCTTTCGACATCCTTTTGATGCTTGTTTCCAGCCTCGAACATGAGCATTTTCCCTTAAATCCTCAGTGCCTGCAGTAATGGGGTGAGCCCAGCTTCCCAGGTGAGATCCCAGACAAGCCCGAACAGCTCACCAACAGAATTTTATCATCCAGCCTCACTACTGAGCTGACATTTCAAATGCCAGATACAGAAAGACACTCATTCACCCCTTCCAGCTGCTGCTGGCTTTTGCTTAGTCACCTTCTAAACTCTTAAAACTTTTTTTTTTTAAAAAAGGACCATCTGAGTAGGTTTTTTACTCAGTTTTCCCAGCAGACATGCAATTAGCTTAACACAGACCGTCTGTGGGTCCCCCCAGAGCCAAGTATTTGTTTTCCAGATGGAAAACATCAGGTTTTTCACCATCGCTGTGGGGGGAGGAGGTGCTTTCAGTACCCTGTCCCATATTATCCCCCCCACCCCGAGTACCTGGGAGCTCCTGCTCGGTGCCTGGGGCTCAGAGAGCAGGGGTGCACGCAGGGGAAGGGCGGTGGAAAGGGGTGAAGCCCTTACCCCTCTCCACGGCGGCACGGAGGGCCGCGACGTTGTGATGGAAAGCGTCTCTCACATCCACCAGCACGAAAGGGATGGCCCGGGACTTGAGCAGGCTGGCGGCCGCCGTGCCTCCGAACCCGGCCCCCACCACCACCACCCGCACGGAATCGTCCACGGACACGCGGGATCCCATCTCCCTGCCTCGGTGCTGGGCCGAGCCGAGAGCTGGGGGGGGGGACGGACGGACGGACACCCGGCAGCACCGTGCTCCCGTCTGCGCAGCCGCCGCTCCCCGCTGCGTGGGAGGCCCGTTTACCGGCCGACAAGCTCCTTGCAGCTGTAAAACTCCGGGGAGGAGCTGGGTTTTAAGGTTTAAATCCAGCCTTTAGACCTTATATCTCCTGAGCGGGGAGGGAAGCGGGGGGAGATGCTTCCTGCCGAGGGCGCAGTATCCGCCCGAGTGAGCACCAGAGTCCCAAAGATAAAATATTTCCCCTTTCGCCTTCCTTAGGTACATCTTCCATGGGAAAAAGGGATGGTAGGGATCTTGCAAATTAAGGGTTGTGTTTTAAGGGAGATGAGCAAACACCCAGAGGTGAGGGGAACTGCCCCGGCTGAGCCTGCCGGCCCCAGGGATGGCAGCGGGTAGGGACGCTGTGTCACACAGGAGGCTCTGCTAATGCTGAGGCTGTGCGGTCAGCCCTGCCGAACCCCCGCATTAAAAAGTCACGAGCTCACCTTTTAAAAAGAAAACAAGCCAACAAACAAACAAAAAAAGAGGCGGTTTGGTTTGGTTTGGTTTGGGAAAATTCACAAACGTGGGGCTTTGTCTCTCCACCTTGGCTTGCTCTCCGTCAGCGATGCGTGTTGGTTTAATGCGTGTTGGTTCAGTGCCCCCTTTTGGGGGGGGGGGGGGGGCAGCTGGGGGCTGGTGGCAGAGGGGTGCCCCGCTCCTGCCCTTGCTGGGGGAGTTTGCCTTTCGCAGCCCTCAGCGGCTGTGGTTTGGAGGGGCTCGTCGGGAAACCCACCGACTGGCTGAGACCGCAGGCTGGGAGGGTGGCCCGCTCCCTTCACCGAGAGAAACGGCTCTTCTTGGAGAGAGAAATAAACATGTATCTGCTCTGAGTGGTGGCGGGGAAAAGAGCCTGGAGAGGGACAGAGGGAAAATGAGCCCAGCATCACCATGGTGGAGACAGTGGGATGTAAGGAGGAGCAGGGAAGGGCTCAGAAAGTGGGGAAGGGCTCAGAAGGTAGCGAAGGCCCCTGAAGAAGGGGAGCAGAGAAGGAGATTTACAGTAAAAAGGACATCCAAATCGTGTTCTTCTGCAGCGCGGAAATTACCCTGAAGACTTTTGGCTCCTGTGGCATTCCAGATAAATATAGCTGCTGGCCATGTGGATAAATATAGCCGCTGTGCACACTGCGACGTTGTGAGCTGGCAGAGCTGCCCCCGCGCTCTCTTGCCCGTGATTAAAGGCTCCCTCTGCTCCTCATTCCTCCTCCAGCCAACGCTGGCCCGGTGCCGAAGCCCCTTCCCAGCGGGGTCCCGAACAAAAAGTCCCCCCAGCCTCTTGGGTGGGAGAGGATGAAGGAATTTGCATCTTTTCCAGAAAAAGCAGGGCCTGGCCTCAGGGTTGCCGCCAGAGGGTGCAGCCGGCTCGGCCGTGGGGACACGGGACACGGGTGTCCAAACCCAGCGTGGGTGTTCCGCCGGACACCCCCCTCCTCCGTCACGGGGAGGGCTCGGGGAGTGGGGAAGAAGGGTGACAAAAGGGTTGAAAGCAGGGGGGGCATTTCTGCTCCGCGCTGGGGGACTCTGCAGCCTGGAAGAGAGCTGGGAGAGGAGGGGTGGAACAGCCGACAGGAAGGTGCTCTAGGAAAGCCCACGGCCTCAGCTGAAATAAGTCGAGGGCAGGTTTGTGCTTTTTGTTACACAGGACTCGGGTGGAGGATGCTAAAATTTTCAACGGGGGAAAAAAAAAAAAAAAAAAAAGATTAATCCACAGAAGATAAATCCTCCACAGCTGCTAAACACAGAGGCACCTGTTCTGGCGAGGAAATCCAGGAGTTATGGATGTCCAGAGGGCTGGGAAGTATCCCCAGGGTGATAGTGCTCCAGGTTTGCTCCCTGTCCTCTCTCCTGGCACCTGCACGGGCACTGCTCTGTGAGGAGGCTGCTGGAATAGCCTGGCGATGGCCAGCCTTGGGAAAGCATAATTCAGTGCAAAAACTGGACAAAATACCAAACCCATCTCTGTTTCTAAAGGGATGAACTCAGCAATCAAAACCTGCTTTAGGCACTTCCCTCAAGTGACATAGACAGGCTTGCCTTGCGCCCGGTGTGTGAACCCATCCCCTTCCTGGCAGGGTTCTCCTTACCTGCATAACTCCCCTGGCATTTCATCCTGCTGGAGCAAAGCTGGATCGGAGGCCCTGTCCTAGAAGACAGGGATGCTGAGGAGGAATCGCCACTTTCCACGTGCTACTGCCCTCTCCCCCTTCCCCTGCACCTTTGTGCCCAGCTCTGGCTTTTACAGAGGCAATTTTTGGCTTTTCATGCCAGGTGTTCGCATATATTTTATAGCACATACCCACTGCTGGGAGAAATTGTTTACTCCAAGAGTACTCCCCTCTTTTTCCCTATCACGTAGTGTTTTCCGCCTTCAGGTGTGTTGGCACCAGACCTTGCCACAAAGAAAAAGATCCTGTTCCTGCCCCAACCCTGCTGCTCACAAGGCAAACGTCTTCATCCTGCCTCCAAGACAAAGGCAAAGCCTTTCCCAGCATCGCCACCGGTGGGTTTGGTTGTCCTTCACTTGCCTTCAATTTGTGACAGAGTCGCTGGCGAGGACAGCCCTCCACAGCGTTGCTCCCAGGCGGTGAAGGTATCATCAGGTGAATCTGGTTGTACACCAGAAGATCAGGGTCACCTTTCAAAAAAAAAAAAAAAAAAAAAAAAAAAAAAAAAAAAAAAAGGGTAAAAAAAACGGGGCAGTGAATTGGAGACGCACCAAGCGGCAAGACAAGGTCAGTGGCAAAAAAAGAGTGCCCAAATCAAACAGGGTGGCTAAAAGGAGCCTTTGTGAAAACCTTCGTGAAGAAACTCCAAATGCTCAAGCCTGTGGTCAGAGGGAGCCTTCTGCATGGAGGTGTGCGCTCAGCATTGGCAAATACGTTGTTTTGATGATATTTCTCCGGCCGGCTGTGAGCAGGCGGCTGCAGGAAAAGCTGGTTGGCTTCAGAGCCATTTATTTTTAATTCTGCTGGTGATCCGTACAGCAGAGGTGCGTGGGGGAGGCTGGGGGCCAGCTTCTTCCAGGCTCCCTGGCCTCCCCGTTACTCCTGCCCCGCGAGCCGTGTGCTCCCTGCGGGGTGGCAGGGGGCCGGTGGGAAGGAGGAGGCGTCGGGAAGGGGCCCTGCGGGATGCTCCTGCCCCACCTCTGCAGTTCTGAGACGCCACGCAGGCAGCGTGGGTATATACCCACCTCTGTGCCCTCCCCTCACCGGGTTTAATCCAACGTCAGCCAGAGGCAGTGGACGTCCCTCTGCGTCTGATAAATCAAAGGATGGGTAGAACGGCGTGGCGCGGGAAGACCTTAGGATGACACAAGTGCCCGTGCCCTGCGCTTGCCCAAACTCCCTGCAAGCCTCTGCCTCCTTGTCCTGCCCACCACGGGCATCGGGTTAGGCAGGTTAGCCTCGTTAGCTTTGCAGTAGCCCTCGACAGGCTGCAAAAGCGTTAACATCCCTCCCTTCGGTCTCCTCCCGAGAGCTGCTCGCCCTCCTGGGCCAGCCTGAAGGCTCAGGCCACGTCCGAGCTGCCGGAGGGGTCCTGTTTGTCCCCCCACCGACGACCTCTCAGCTGTAAAACCGAAGGAGGCTTGTCCCAGCTGCAGCGCTTCCAGGCCTCAGCGCGGGAGGGAAAAAACCACCCCTCGCAAACACAAAATGAACCGGTGATTCAGGACTTAGCAATAAACGTCATCAAGCTCGCTGGGGAGCAGCCACTCCCAAGGAGACTCTGTTCCCCTGCGTCTGGCTAGCGGCTGCCTCTGCAAAACCCGACGGTCGTCCTCTCCCGTACCAGCAGCCTCGTGCGCCGCGTTCCCTCTGCCCGCAGACGTCCGCCTGCACAGCGCCCTGTGACAGCCCCAGCGGCGCTGCAGCCCTCCGGCCGCGCTTCAGGGGGAAAGGGTGGGTTCGTGTCTTCCAGGGGTGAGGTGAGCGCTTGCTCCCCTCTAGACGGACCGCGCTGCTCGTCCTTGGCACCTGCCCCGGGGCTCCCTGGTTTAGCCCGGGGTGGTCTGGTCCCCTCCTGCACCCCTCGGGGATCTCTGCCACAGGCAGGGTGGGATCAGGGCAGTCCAGGGCAAAGAATTGCCTGGATAAAACCAATTCAGGCCAGTTCCTGCCTGCTCTGGAACATCAACACTGGCTATGTTATACCATTTAAATAAAATATCCTTTTAACAAAAATCAACAAGGTTCCGTTGTTTTTATTCTCTCCCCAACAAACCTCATTTTTCATTTCCAGTTTTTCAGTGACATCAGCTTGAGAAGACCAGCTGCTGGCCGCTTGCCCTAAACCACAGCACCAAAGTCACCTTTTTTTGTCCAGGCTGGACCAGCCAGTCACGTGTATTTACAGGCAGTGCCTCCGTATGTGCCAGCACATAAACTGGTCTCAGATCTCACCTGGAAAAGGCATTAAGGAACACTCCGAAGATGAAATGCAATGGTCTCTGTGATTCAGGTGATCTTTGTATCCGAAAGACGAGCCGTGGGCAGCTGGGGGTCCTCTCTGCCCCACGGCCATGCCATGATGCTCTTCTCCTTATTCCTGGGATCGAAGTGGGCTCTGTGCTGAGGTGCTCCCCAGCTCCTCTTCCCCTGCACAAATCTCACTTCCCACCTGACCTGCTGCCACACGCGGGGTGAGTTTGCCAGGCTCAGCGTGCTCCGGTGGCAGGGTTCATCTCACCTATCATCAGGCACCTACAAATTAGGGCTCCCGAGAGGCTCACCCCAATGCAGATTTTGAGGAACTGAGGTGTGGCCGGGCTCGCGGCAGCCCCTGGCACGGGGCGGGCACAGGCAGAGCCAGGGCTCTCCTTCCCCGTGTAGAAAAACCCCGGCTCAAACAGCTCCAGCAACCGCTTTTGGTTTTTGTGTGGTGCAAATCTTCCTTACCCCTCCAAAGCCGAGTGGGCGGCGGCCGTTAGGAATTTTACGGAAATGTCGTTTTGTGGGAATTTGTCCCTTGCTGTGTTGCGATGCAGGCAGGTGCAGAGAGGAGCATGATCAGCTTTATCCAGCTTCGCCGGCTGGCTCTAAGGATTGCAAAGACCTCTCTGGCAAGGCTCAACTCCTGTGGCAGAGGGGCCCGTGGCTCGGTGGTGAGGTGGCACCTTTCTCTGATGGGGACAACACGGAGAGGGGTTTTGTGGCATTAATCCTTATGGGGTGGCAGGGAAGCAGAAAGGATGTCAGTGGTTGGGATTTCCTTGAGAAAAGGAAGGGAGAGGGCTTGGGCAAGCCCCTTCGCTCTCGGGGCAGGTTTCGAGAAAGAACAGCTTTCACTCCCAAATTGTGGGGAGTTTTGTCTCCCACTACCCAGGATTTCGTTACAGTGAAAGCACAGTCTATAATAAAACTGTGTCCTTAAAAAAATCAGTCTCACAGACAGTCAGCCTTTGTCCGAAGGTGTAATTACAGGATAAATATGGGATGCAGACCAAGAAATGCGGTCTGGTCAGGCATGCAGTCTCTTAAAAAAAACACAACAGAAAACAAGGCTGTCGTTTAATGCTGAAATGTCCACATGTGCTGCAGCCCCCGGTCCCTCGCTGGCCCGCGGGTCCCCCCGCACCGAGCCGGGGTTCGGGCAATGGAGCCGTAGCAATTCCCTGTGGGAACCGCACGGAGCCCCGCGACGGAGCCAAGGGCAAGGGCGGATCTGGTCTCCGGCAGAAGGCAGCGGGTCTGGCTGAGGGCACGTGGTGCCTTGGGCGATGGGTTTCCCTCCAGCCCCGGTGCAGAAATCCCACCTGATAGCGCTGCGAGGGGACACGGGGGATTAGCTCGTTGGATCCCATTAAATGGAGCTGGAGCAAGCGAGGAGAAGGGGGGGGGCAGGGTCAGGACAGCCGGTGGAGCAGCCACGACTTCTGATGTTTGGGACAAGCCTTGTGCCGAGCTGGAAAAAGACCTTTTTATGCATTTCTGTGGGCCAGCCTGGCAGCTCGGCTCCATGGGCCGGCAGACATCCACCGTGCCAGCTGCTGGGAGCAGTTTGCCACCTCAGCCGTGTCTAAGGCGGCGTTTAAGAGATCTTTCTGCCTCGACCGCTCTCTTCCTTGGTGGGCACCAGCATCTTCTGACTCAGGCAAGAATTTCCCCTCTGTGGCAAGCCCAGCCACACCACTATGGCTCCAGTGAGCCCCGAGTGTCTCTGAGACAGAGAAACAGCAGGGTGTACCTGCCATCCAAAGTCAAGTCTGGGTTAGACTGGCAGATTGACCAGAAAAAATTCCCATTTAGAGGGGAACAGTGCATCCATAATTTATGAAAGCTCCCACTGATGCTACATCATCTCGTGTCACCCGCAATAACCCCAGGGAGGAGAAGCAGGCTTTGGCTGGTAGCCCTGTCCCATGGGAAAACGTGTCCCCTCGCTGCTCTGGGCCGCTTGCAGAAAATGCCTCTCTAGTGACAACAAGCATCACCACAATGCGCCCAAATTCCCCCCCAAACACAGCTGAGCGGGTGAGCCCGGAGGCAGCAGAGCTGCGGGCCCTGACCTGGGCAGGGCAGGTTACAGAAGTGGTGGGACCCCCCTTGGGTTGGGGAAGCAAGGAGTGACGGGGTGTCTTGTATTTGTTTGCAGGCAAGCCTGATCCTTCTGGGAGCTGTTTTCTGAAAGCTTGAATCCCTTGAAAAGAGGATGGGGCGGGGGGGCTGGTTTTGGTGTCGGTGTAGATGGAGGAAGGGTGAGGCTGCATCCATGTGTGGTCCCTGCCGTGGGCTTCCTGCGTGGTCTGTCTGAATGTAGTTCCATCCTTGCTCTAAAGCATTGCCTCTCGCTGTGGCTTTCCCAAGGCATGGTTTTTTTTTCTCCCAAATCCATGCCTTTCCTCCTATATGGAAGGGCCGAGGCAAGGCCTGGCAGCGGCCAGGGCAGGGCGAGCAGGAGGTGCCCCTCCTGGGGGGGACAAACCTCCCCCCCCCCCAGCTGGCACAGGGAGAATTCAGCTGCTTTAGTCTGGAAAGGAGCCGCGTGTCCCTCTCGGCTTCCCGATGTGTCTGGCACCGCGCGGGAGTCACGGCTATGCGGGTTTAATGGGAGCAATTAGTCCCTGCGGAAACCTGCATGGGTCGGGGGGTGCGTTTTCTTTCTGTCCTGTGACATTTTTGACGGGAAGCTGGACGGTGTCCAGGAAGAAATGCTCGGGCTTAGCTAGAAATGGCAGGCTGGAGCCAGCCGGGGCTGAAGCCGTGCAGGTGAGCATGGGTGGTTGTCCCCATCCCCTCAGCCCGGTTCCCCCTTCTCTCGCCGCTTGCTTTGTATTTTCCTTTATTTGTCTGTCCTTTCCCCCAAGCCCTTTCTTTGCCCAAGCCCCGAGGTGGGGCGGGAAGGGGCAGGGAACACCGGGCTCCCCTCTGACGTCCCCTTCCCAGCTCTGGCACCCGAGCGGCTATTTGCCCCTCGTGCTGTTGTGCAAAGCGATGGTTAATTTAAACATCATTTGCTTTGCAAAAGCCGACCTAGCGGGTACTTTTGCAGAAGGGCAGTCCAGGCGTTCGCCTGTAACCGTTACCCCGGATCCAGCCGCCTTCCCCCTCGTGCTGGCCGAGCTCTGTGGGCTTTTCCCAGCACCCAGCCGACCTCGGCGACTCCACCGGGAAGCCTCCAAACAAAACCCGGTTCGCTCCTCAAACCCCGGGGGCTGCTGAGCGATGCCGAGAGCTGCCTGTGAGGCAGGGAGGGGGTTGACGGCTCTCCATCGCCAGCAAGCGAGGAGGGTCTCGCCCACGCCCCTCAGTGCCAAGAACCCCCCACTTTTGCACCCTCTCCCCAGCCAGCCGGCGTCGAGCACCCTGAATTCACACCTTGAGGCCCGATGCTCCCCGGCGAGCGAGGCGGCAGCGCTCGGAAAACCTCCCCGGCCGTCCAGGGCTCCGGCGTGGCTGCTCCCCGCCGGCCGGCCCCGCGCTCCTCAATGCTGTCTCTGTTCTCCCTCTTGGGTCAAAAACGCGGCTTTTGTGAGCTCGCCCCAGCCGCGGCTCGTCGCCGGAGCCCCGGCGCGTTCCTCCCGGCCGCCCTCCGCCAGCAGAAAGGCAGCCCAGCTGTGGCCAGCCGCCGCCGCCGCCTCATTTCACTTATTTATTTTTGCTTTTGCCTGACAGCTCCGGCTGGGGAGAAGTGATGTGGGGCTCTGATGGCCGTGCCCGGAGGGGCGGGCGGCGGGGACCCCTTGGGACTCCCCCAGCTCCCCAGCAAGACTGAGGTGGAGACAACCGCTAACTCCCACCGAAACGCCTAGCTTCTCCCTCGGGTGCCTGCCGTAACCCAAAAGACATGGGGAGTTAAAGGACGCGCTGCAAAGCGGGCTAAAAAAAGGTGTTTTAATTCATTAAATGTGAGTTGGAAGGGGCAGCTCAGTGCCAGGCTACTGCTGGGTGAACACCCGCATGTGGCAAACACCCTGAAACTCCCCAGGTATCGCTCACCCCCCCGGGTGCTGCGGGCAAGTATTTGGGGCTCTGGGGGGGAGCCCCGGAATACCGAGGAGACAGGACGCGAACACCAAGGCGACGGGAGATGCTTTGGACTCCGTGCTGTTGTATTTTTGCTTTTAATTAAATAAGTCTGACCATCTTCCAGCAGGCGCCGAGGTTCGTGGTCGCTCCCACGGCGCAGGGTGGGTGCAGCCCCGGCCCCGGCCGTGCCCCACCGGGGGTTTGGGGGGGGTGTGGGGGGGTGTTACAGCCCATCGGTCCCCGGGGGCTCTCCCGGGATGGTGTGGCAGGGCACGTGGTGGTCGCCGGCCGAAATCTGACCCCCGCCACCTCGGCTCTGGGGGTGTCTCTCTGTTTCTCTGCGCTGTGTTGTGCTGCTCTGATTTTTTGGGCTTAGCTCCTTGACCTGCCTCCCCCTTCTTTTTCACGTAATAAATAAATAAAATCCCCTGGCGCCCCTGGTATGCAAACACGCAGGAAAAAAAGGAAAAAAAAAAAAACAACACCCCTCCCCACCCCACCCCCCCCCAAACCAACTTTGAAGAGCACCAAAACCACAAAGTCACCTCGTTTCGTTGCAGCCCGAGTGCTGGCCGGGGCTCTGCGGGAGACTCCCGCCCCGGCACGCCTCTGAGGCAGTTCCCAGTCCATGCTGGTGTGTGAAGGCACTAAACCAGTAAGGCCTCTGGGGTCTGGGTCCTTGCTGGCACCACGGGGGTCTTGTGCTTGCCTCGTCCTAGCCAGGTGGGGTGGCAACGCGAAGGTGCCTGATCCTGTCACCCTCTGCTCGCCCTCACCCTCCTCCTCCTCGGCGCAGCCCCCAAACCGGGGGGGGGGGGGAGAGGTGTCCCTGGCGCCGACCCGCCAGCTTTTTTCCACTTCCCCTCACCTTTGGGATTTCCCCCGTTGCGGGGAGGAATTGCGTAATTCAGGCTCTGCAGGACCCTGGGGGTCGGCTCTGCCAGGACGCTCCAGCTGCCGGGGCTGCCGCGGCAGCAGTGAAGAGCATCTCCAGGAGTCAGCGACCCCCGGGTCTCCCCCGGGCCGGCCGGGAGCACGGCCTCAGCCCCCTCATCGTCCCCCCCCCTCCGCCCCCCCCCCCCCCCGCCGCCGTTACGTGACCCAGGAGGGCTGTGCCTCCTCCAGCAGGCTGAAGGAGCGGTTGGCCAGCGCGGCGGGGCTGCTGGCCAGCTTGTAGCCGAAGAGGCGCATGGCCGGGGCGCAGGCGTCCTGCACCACCTGCGCCAGCTTGAAGGGGATGCTGAACCGCCACTTCTCGAACTGCTCGGAAGAGTTTTTGCGGGTGGAGTAGACGCCGCTGCCGTCGCGGGGGGCCTGGGTGTTTTTGCCGATCCACTCCTCCACTTGGTGGGTGAGGGGGAGCCCGGCGAAGCGGTACATCTCCTCCGCCTTCTGCAAGGGCGCCCGCGCCACGTCCTCGTAGCGTACCAGCATGTAGCGGCCCCGCAGCCAGCCCGGCCGCCGCAGCCCCAGCTCAGCCGACAGACGGATGCTCTCGCAGTTGCCCCGCAGCCTCTGCACCTCCTCCTCGTGGAGGGGAGCCTCCCCTTCGGCTGCCCACTTCTTCCAGGTCTCGTACTTGCCGGAGAAAGCCACCATGCGGGAGGCCAGGACGGCTCGGGGGTCCCGGACCAGCTGGATGATGCGCACGTCCAGCCGGGGGTCCTCCACCAGCGGCTGCAGGAACTCCAGCTGCCGGATGCGCACGGTCTTCAGGGCCACGTGCTGCTTGCGCCGGCACGCCTCGGCGGCCAGGGTGATGTTGAGGGGGCCGCAGCGGCGGTTCTTGCAGTGGTACTTCTCGAAAACCTTCTTAGCGCTGGGCGTGCAGACGGGCTCCTCGCAGAGCGAGCGGCTCGAGCCCCGCCGAAACATGAAGGGCGTCAAGTGGCCCTCGGGCGCCGGCAAGATGAAGCTCTCCAAGATGTAGAGGTCGCAGAGGAGGAGCTGTTTGAGGACGTCCCGGTAGACCAGGGCCGAGCCCACCGCATTGGCTCCCCCCGGCTCGAAGGTCACCGTCCTCTCGATGTGCCAGAGGGGCTCGAAGAGGTAGAAGACGCTGCCTTGCTGGTTGAAGAACTCCCCCACGAAGGAGGAGCCGGTGCGGGTGGTGGCCATCAGCAGGACGTGCCGCCGCGGCCCGGGGTCCCCGTCACCCTCCAGCTGCAGGGTGACGTTGCGCAGGCGGGACCTCAGCTGGGAGAAGGCGGCATCCAGCTCTCGCAGCGAGGCCAGCGAGCCGTTCTCGGCCGGCGCCGGGCTGGCCTCCGTGCCGTTGGCTTCTGCCAGCGCCTGCGGGGACTGCTTCAGCTTGTCCGACACCCTGCGGGGAGAGCCAGCCCAGCCTGGAGGGGAGCGGGACCACCCCTGCCACCCGGCGGGGGGTTTGGGAGCCGGGGGTGGGGTGTGTTCCCTCTCCACAGGAGCTCGGGATGTGGGGGGGGAAGAGAAAAGGGTGAAAAGCGTGGGGTGGCTTAGGTACCCGCTCCCTACCTGGAGATGAAGTTGTTCTCCTTCTCGATGATGACGAGGCCGACGACGAAGACCAGCAGCACGGCGTACTTGCTCCTCATCTTCAGGCAGTGCAGCAGCTCCCGGAAATCCTGGGGCAAAGCGCGTCGGATCTCCATGGCGGGGGGGGACACACGCGTCCCTCCCACCCACCGGGGAGGTGTCCCGGGCTAGCCCCCCGGCATCCTCTGCCCCGGGGCAGCCCTGCCTGCGGGGAGAAGGACGGTCAGCGCCGGGGTGGCTTTCTGCGGGGAGGGGGGGGGGGTCGGGCAGGGGCCAGAGGCTGACCCTTCCCACAAGGATCTGACCAACAAGGCCTTGACAAGAGCACTAAAAAGGGGTCCCATCCCACCCGCGAGGAGCAGCTGCCTGAATCCCCGCCGTGGGCTGCTCCCCCTCTTTCCCAAAATACCCCTGCCCGATGGGACCCCCTTCCCGCGCCTCCGCCGGCCGCCCCTGCCAGCCCTGAAACCCAATCCCCACCGCCCCGACAGCTGCCTGCTCCCCGCCGGCCAAAAAAACCTGCTGTCGGCAAGCGAGGGCCCCCCCACCCGGGTAGGAGAGCAGCTCCTCATCCCGCTCCACGGGGCATCGCGGCTCCCAGCCTCTGGAAAGAGCTACTTTTGGGGAGGGCTGCAGGCTCCACCGTGGCAGGGCCCCGGCGTGGGGCCGCGCAGCTTCCGCCTTCCCGCAGCACGGCAGCGGCGGCTGCTCAGCCACGAAAATGAAACCCAGAGGGTTTGCCAGGAACGACGGTGGGCTGGAAAAACGCTGCTGCCGCCACCAGTCCCGCTCGGGGTGTAAAAAGCTCCTGGGGGGCTCGCTCCAAAAAGTCAAAAAAAAACAAAAAAAAAAAAACAAAAAAAAAAAAACCCAAACAAATGGTGGTGGTGCAGCCGCTTGGTTCGGGATGCAAAACCCACCGGGAGACTCAGCGTCCCCCACCCCCCGAACCACCCCCCCGGCAGAAAAGACACAGACAAGCACACACACAGAGCCCTCCTCCTCCCAGCGCTGCCAAAATTGGGGGGATGGCAGGACCTGCTCAGAGTTGCACCAAACCTCCATCCCAATGGGGACATCGTGAAGATTTTGGAGGGGGAAGGCGGAGGGGGGGGGGTGCCAAAGCCGCTGTTTGGGACCCCGGGGCAGGTCCCCAGCACGTGTCTCGTGCCGATTTACACGCGCAGGGCTTGCCGGCGCCCGCTACCTGCCCGCTGGTTCGCACGCCCAGCGCCCGCCCGGCCGCGTGGGAGATGCTGTTTGCTCATCCCGCTTTCTTGGCCAGACTTTCGGTGACTCAGGAAAAGTCTATTTAGCTTTGGTTTGGCTCCCGCCAGCGTGATCCTTGGCAGCCCGTCCCAGCCCTGCTTTCCGGGGCGAAAGGGGGGTGTGAAGGGGTGGGGGGGTGGGGGGATTGAGCCCGGCAGAGCCCCGTCCTTTGGGGGGGACCCCCGGGGTTTGCTGGTGGGGAGATGCCCCGGCCGAGCCGCCGTACCCGCAGCCCGTGGCAGGGTGTGGAGCAGGGAAGCCCCTGCCAGGCATTGCGTCACGCCCAAACCTCCTCCACGCCGGCCGCGGCCAAAATGTGCATTTTTTGGTGTTGCTCACTGTTTGCCCCTCCCACGGGGGAAGGGGGCAGCGCGGGCAGGAGGAGAGGGACGCAGCCCACGGCCAGGGCAGCATCCCAGCCCGCTGCCCGCTCCCCGGCCCTCTCTGCGGGAGGACCAGGAGTTTCCCAGCTTGAGCAAACCGCTCAGCTCCCCGGGCCTGGCTTTGAGCCATCTCCTTCCCAGCAAAAGCTGCTCAGAAGAGACCCCCCCCCCCCCCCCCACGCACCCAGGAAAGGCTCCGGTGGGACACAGGCGCCTCGGAGAGCCCCAGCAGCTCCCGAGCCCTCCCGTGGCGGCCCCCCCCCCCCCCCCCCGCCGGTTCCCCCCTTTCCCCTTGCAGTGAGCGGCACCAACATCCCCCTGCACACGTCCGCGGGTGTGTTTAACAGCCCTGTTAGTTTAGTTTGTCAGCACGCCGCTCCTCAGGGACAGGCCAGCAGCTGGGGCAGGTGCCTTTTGCCACGCTGTGTCGCCCCCCCCCCCCAACCCCGAGTCCTCCCTTCCTCGATCCCCCTGCGACGACAGGACTTGTCGGAGCATTTGAGCAACTGAGAGAAGAAATAAAATATACAAAGCAGCCCTCGGTGCGCGGCCGTGTCTCTCAGCGCCCGGCAGAGCCACCAGCTCTGCTGCTGCAAAGGACTTTTGGGTTTGTGGGACCCCCCCTACTCACCCCCCGGGAACAGTGGTGGGGGTCTGTGTCCCTGCCCTTGCCTCCCCCCATGCAGGGGAGCGTCCCCTCGCTGCCCGGAGCACACACGCAGTGAGGGGATGGCATCAACCGCTTGCTCAGACAAAATCCCAGGGCTTTGCCCCTCTAATGCCCCCAGCCGACTGACCCCAACTGAGCCACAGACCGGGAATTATTCGTGGGGGTGACACAGAGAGAGCCATGTCCTGGCAAAAACCCTGGTTCACAGGCTCGGGGAGGACATCATTCGTTAAATAGCCGGCTGCAAACATCCTGCCAGGGCAGCGGCGCCCTCGCAGGGCTGAGCCGTGGGGCTGGGGGGGCACACAGGGGGGTGACCCGGCGAGGCTGGCTGGGGCTGCGTGGCATCCTACAGCTCTTCCTCGGCTGGGATCCGCCAGGAGCAGCCCGGCCGGGGCAGCGAGCGAGCCACAAACGTCCCTTTGTGTGAGCGGGAACAGAGGGGCTCTGTGCGCCCCGCGCGCTCCCCTCCGGCCGCCCGCCGGGGGCTCGGCAGGGCCGGGGGGGGGGGGGGCGCGGGGGGAGCTGCCAGGGTGCCACCGCCGCTGCCGGGGCGCACCGCCGGCGACCGGCCCCAGGGGATGCGTGGCCACCGGTGTGAGCGGGCAGATGGATGGACAGACGGATGGACGTCATCTCCGGCAGTGGCAGGCAGCGGCCGGCCGGTGCTCTCCTCTTACCCTGCACCTCTCAAAGGGATAATTTCCAGGAGCATTAAGCTGAGATGCCCCGGAAGGCAGCCCGTGCAGCTCGGGGGGAACTCCCCCAGCGCTGCTCCCTGCCTTTTCTTATCCCTCGGGCTGGAAACGCTTTTCATTTCGGCACAGACAGCTACAATTCCCACTGTCGAGACGATAAAAGGCTTCGTGGATTTCCCAGCGGAGCCAACGCCAGAAAAAGGGGCTTTTTCTTTTGGGGGGCGGTGGGGGTTTTGTTCCCATGCAAACTGCCCGGGTGGATATCTGCCACTACTAGCAAGTTAACTTAACCCTTCCACAGCAAGAAGGAAGGACTCAAGACAGGAAAGGAGCTGCCCCGTCATTCAAGTCCGCTGCAGCCTGTCGGCTCACGGGATGGGTGCTCCCACTGGTGTTGTAGGTGGGGTGAGAAGAGCAGCGCGGCCCCAGCGCGAGGATGGCAAGGCCCCGTGGTGAGAGGAAGGAGGGAAGGGACGCTCTTGTCGCCGTTCCGCAGGGTGTTTCGCAGGACTGCCTGCCTGGGAGAGCCAAGCCAGGGTTTTCCGCTCGGTTTTGGGAAAGGGAGGGTCTTTCACGAAGCCTTGGGGCTCTCATCCCCCTCCTCTGGCTGCCCCGAACACCTACCGGGTGGGATCCAGGAAAGCAAAGATGCCTGCGGGCTGGCGGGGGAAGCCAGCTGGAGGTGCGACTAGATGAAGTCACATTTTCCTCCGGTGACTCAACAGGCAACAACTGAGCTCCGGACAAGGAACGGCGGCGAAGCACCTACTTGCAAGCTCCCTCCCTGCCCGAGATCCCTCTGTCCATCCAGTCCCCCCGCTTCCATCCGTCCCCGTGTATCCCTGCCTGCCTCCTGGGAGAAAGGAGCTGGTGGGGGGACCTGTGGCTGAGCTCGATGACCCCGGAGTAATTCCCTTGGCGATGCTTTGCTTAATCAGATTAACAGCGGCAACATGAGCCAGCAAAACACAGGGGCGGAACAACAAAGAGATAAGGCGCAGGGGTGCTTATCTGCTCTCCCCGCTGCTCTTTGTCTGCAACCTGGGGGAAAAAACAAAAAACCAAACCAAACCAAAAAAAAAAAACAACAAAACCACCCCGAGCTCCCCTCTGTATTTACTCTCTCAACTATTTCCGCTGCCGACTTCCTCCAGAGGCTGGCCTTGGGAAACGCACCACCGATGCTTCCCGCTTTCCTTTCATCTCCCAGCAATTTTGATCCTGCCCCTGGTTCTTCTCCAAGGCATGGCACAAGCACCGCACCACTTTGGTTTGCCCCCCGGCAGAGCAAAGGAGGCTGCCCAGGCAGGTATTTTTTGCTTAAAGACATGTATATTCAAGCCCAAAAAGCAAAAAAAAAAAAAAAAACCAAAAAAAACAAACCAAACCAAAAAGTCACCTCCTACGATGTTTATAAACTTGCCTAGAATAGCCCCAAGCCTCATCAAATTGAAGCCCAGCGGAGGAGAAAGTTGGGAATGCAAAGTCCTGGGATGGGGCGCCGGCGCCCGCAGCAGCCCCAGCCCGTCCCGCTGCCGCCCAGCGAAACCCCGGTGTGAGCAGGGTCCGTGTCCCCCGGGGAGGACGGGAGGGGAGAAACGCTGTCCCCTTGGCTTGGGCAGCCCTCCAGGGCCACGGCCGGGGGTTTGCTCCTCCACGTGTTCGGCCCCTCGGGTTAACGCCGGGCCCTTTTCCCTTCCTGGCTCTGCCCCTCAATCCTTCGACCCACCTTGGCTTGCTCTCCTCTTAGCCTGGGCACCCCGAGCAAAGCCACTGGGTCACGCAGGCGAGGGCAGAGGTGGGAGGTCATGCTCAGGAGCAGCAGCGGCAGGCGTTGGCACAAACAAGCACCACTCAAACAACTTGCTTCTCACTGCACGTGCTCTCAAACTCCCGGTGTAAGAGGTTGTCCTCTGTCCACTATTTATTATCCCCCCGAGGAGGCACGCTGAGCTCTGGGATGACCCAGATGAGCAGGCCTTGCTCCTCGCGTGCCAAAAAGCGCTGCCCAGAGGGGATTCAGAGGCTGGCGCTGGGCACCGTAACGCCGGTGACAGGACCAGCCCAGGACAGGGCGGGCTTTACTCTCCCTCGCTTTGCACGGTGTCCAAAGAGAGGGGTTTTGCCCTGACCCAGGAGAGAGGAGACCCGCCGCCGCCGCCCGAGCCCCTGATGAACGCGATGGGACTTTCAGAGATGTCGGTGTTGGGCACGGGGGTAAAAGGGCACGCCGGGCTGCGAAGCCCTGGTCTGATCCAGACCAGGAGCCAGTGGGGACCAGCTGAGCTGGCTAACAAGCCTACAACCTTGAAACCAACTCACTGGAAACCACCGATGCCGGGGAGGGGTGGGAAAGGGCGGGGGGGGTTGGGTTTTGCAGCACCACCTGCAGCAGAGGTGCGTGACCGCGGGGTTCTGAGCAGCAAGGGGGTGCGGAGAGGAGACCACCAAGATGGTCAAGAGGACTCCCTCCACCACCCCCCCGGCTCCGTTCGCTCGGCGCCGGGCGGCACAAAGCCGGCCGCTGTGCATGCCGTCGCCCCCCCGGCCGCGCTGGGAACCGCAAATGCCCGTCCCTGCTTCAATGAGCCCTTTCTTTGGGGTGCAGGGCCCGCGGTCCCTCCCACCGCCCCGTGCTCCTTCTCCCCATCGCTCCACGCTAGCCTGGAAACTCCTCTGGCAAACAAACCCCCCAAAACCTCGCTCAGTGCCCGGCTCCGCTCCCCTTTCACCCCGAGACAGGCATCCGTAGCCCTCCGGGGACCTCCAGGAGGGATCGATGGTGGGAGATGTTCACTGGGGGAATAATGAATTCCTGGCTGCCCTTGGGAAAATGCAGACTGTGCCCGGGTCCCAGCAGCACAGGGAGACCGGGGGCGTGAAAACGAGTCCTGTACTGAAGCAATTCAGTAGATGTGGGCAAATCGCAGAGTTAAATACCTGTCCTGGTGTGGCATCATAAATGGTTGACCGGGGAAAAGGAGACGCTTTCCCCCGGGGACCGAGCTCAGGTCCCGTCGTGCAAAGGCAGCGGGGTACGAGCAGCTCCCCCAAACCTGGCTGGGAGCGGCTGCCGAAATCCTCGCAGGCGCTGAGCGGGGACTCTTCCCACCCCTCAAGGCACCCCAGGCCAGCCAGGTCCCATCTGGGTGCCTGCGGCCCGGAGGGTGCCGGCGGGGTGGCCGTGCCCCAGCTCCAGCAGAAAAACCGCCGGTTCCTGCTGGCTGCGAGCCGGCCGAGGGCCAGGGTTGCCCCAGCGGCCCCGAGGCAGGAGGGGAAAGGGTGAGGACAACTTTCCAGTGCTCCATGGTAGGGGCTGACAGGCCGGATGATGCAACTCGGGATGGTTGTGAGAAAGTCTCCTTTTCTCGACCCAGACGCGCTTTGCTCCGGATGGAAGCTCAGCGTCGCAGATGGAGAGCTCGCCTTTCTTTCATTTATTATTTTCTTCCTCTTTTTTTTTTTTTTTTTGAGGGGGGAGGTTTTTTTGTTTTTGTTTTTGTTTTGTTTTTGTTTTTTTTTGTTTTGTTTTGTTTTGTGTTTTTTTGTTTGGTTTTTTTTGTTGTTTTTTTTGTTTTTTTTTTTTTTTTCCCGAAAGAAAGCAACGCAGCGAGCTGCTCGGGCCGTCATGTGCCGAAAGGACTTTCTCTCCCAAGGCAAGGCGCCGGGATCCGGCGCTACCCCGCTGCGGGAGGGGGGCGGCGGGGGGCCCCGCACGGAGACAAAGGAGCGGCCGAGGCCGGAGGGAGCACAAAGGAGCCGGCGGAGCCCGGGGCCGCCCCCGCGGGGGGATACGGCCTCGGAGCACACCCACCCCCACACCCCCCACACCCCCGGCCTCCCCTCGCCCGGGGCGAGGCGGGGGGGGGGGGGGGGTCGAGGTATGGGGAGGGGGGGGGAGGGAGGGGTGTCGGGGCTGTGGCCCCTCCTCGTCCGCCCAACTTCCCGCAACTCCCCTCCGCGCCGGGAGGGAAAGGCCCGACCCCCGCCGCCATCCTACACCCCCCCCCCCCCCCCTCCCCAACCTCCTCGCCCCGGGGCTCCCGCTTGCCCGGCGCTCCCGGTTCCCCGTTTGCGCTCCGGTCCCGGCCCCATCGCTCCCGGTTCCCGCTGCACCTACCCGGGGGGCGGCCGCTCCGCGGGGCGAGCTCGCCTGGTCCTGCCGTGCGGGAGGAGGGAAGGCTGCGGGTCCCCCCTGCTTTTCTTCACGGCGCTGTCATCCTCCCTCCCTTCTTCCCCTCCTTCCCTCCCCTCTTCCCTCCCTCCTTCCTTCCTTCCTTCCTCCCTCCCGGGGCGACGGCGGGGGGGAGCGGTCCCGGCGCCTGGACGCGGGTCCCGGGGCGGAGCCGGGCGGGGTCCCCTGGCCAACCTCCCCGCCACCCCCCCCGCCACGCCGGGGCTGGGAACCGGGAGCCCCGGGAGCTGCCGACCCCGACCCCGGGATCGCCCCGGGGCTGGAAGGGACCGTCTGGGCGCTGAGGTGGGGGGAAATGATGGGGCTGGGAGGGCGTAGACACCCCGCGAAAGTGTCCCACCAGGGCCCAGGCGAGTCCCCTCCCGGGCACGGTGGGGAGATTCGGGCCGCAGGCTCCTGTCCTGCCCAAAGCGGAGTCACACCGGCGTGGTCAGGGCTTTATCCTGCCAACCTCCGAGGATGGAGCCGGCGCAACCTCCCCAGGCAGCCTGCTCGGGCCGTCCTCCTGGGGAAAATATTTCTCCTTTCACCGGCTCCGAACCTCTCATGTCCCAGCTCCTGCCCTCCCACCCCGGCAGGAACCTGGCTCCATCTTCTCTGTGACCACCTCGCAGGCTATTCCTCTTTATCCCCAGCCGAAACGGACTCTCAGGCTCAGCACCTTTTTCCCCCAGTTACCAAATCCCCTTTTCTCCCCGTTCAGGAGCTGTGGGTGGGTTTGCCCCACGCGACGCGCACCGTGGTGTGCCGTGCCAGTGATCCTGTGTGCCCCAGGAGGGCAGGGAGGGAGAGTATCTTACTGGGAGCAGACGGGGAGCTCTGGGGGACACCGGCTGTCACTGTCCCCGCAGGGCAGGCTTAGGGTCTGGAGTATTAAATCGTATCTCAACGGCTATTCCGGCTCATGTGCAGAAATTCATACAGAGCTCTGTAACGTTAGACACCGAGGAGCTGAAAGACATCTGGTTTTGCAGGGAGAGGGAGATCCGAAAAACCAGTCCTCATAAAACGTTTCAGCCCTCTTTCGCATTCTTGGCATAGTTTTTCTGCTACGCGTATGGCATAGGCAAAAAATGCCGGTTTTCTTGGCATTCATGTGCAAGGACCAGCATATAGCTCGTTAGTGGCTTCCTATTAGCGAAGGTAATGAGTACAGGTTTGCGCCCAGAGTGCCAGCGCCGAACTTGCAGCAACAGTGGGTGTGTGCAAATGTATACACGTGTGTATTCATATATATATATATATATATATGTATTTATAGATGGAGATGTACATTAACGCAGGGATGTGGTGAACCTGCCCGGTGTTGCTTGCACGATCAGGGCAGCAAAGCCTGGGTGTGATGTTTAGGGTAGAGCCTCCACCCGTCCGTACATCCTGCTTTTCCCAGTTTTAGTGGGCATCCTGCTGCCAGGAACTGCGGCTGCATTCGGGCACGGTAACTCCGGTACACCCCCGCCACGGCTCCGGCCCCCGCAGCGGCACCTCTGGAGCCGGGGTGAAGGGCAGCATCTCGCAAACTCTGCCTAAATAAGGCAAAACCGGCGGTTGAAGGATCAGGCCTGTGGAGGCTGTCAGGTTAATCACATCAAAAAGAGTGGGTAAGTCCGGCTGGCCACACGCCGCAGGAGTTTCATGGGGTTTTGAAACATGGTGGGAAGCATTTTGAAGCTCCTCGTTTATTTCCATTGAAACAGAGAATTCTGCCTTGGATTTTGCAGAGGAGATCTTGGTGAAAATACATCCCTAATACGTAAACAATTCTGAGATGAGGGCAGAGAGGGGCTGGCGAGGAGTGGGACACCCACGCTAGGGTGGTCTCGCTGCCTTTGTAGGATGCTTTTGCGGTGGTCCTGGTGGGGGGGGGGGTGGTGCTGGGGTGTCTGAAGCCCACCCACCCGGGCCCTGGGGTGCTCTGCACGCCCAGGCAGAGCTCTGCCTGGAGATCGCCCTCCCGCTTCATCAATAAGTAAAGCTGGCACAGGGAGGAACAAAGTGCCTCCTCCTCCCTGAAAAACTGCCGAGGGAGAGGTGACGGGAGAGACAGGGAGTTGTGTTTCCTTGACAGGAGAGGCAGGGAGTTGTGTTTCCTCCGCCCTGCGGGATCACATTCCCTTCGTCACCCACTCCCCTTCCCCCAGGGATAACAGAGGCTGTTCTCCTCGCTCCCTGCGTGGCACATGTGCATGTACACACACACACACACACACACACGCACACGGGCCTGATGAGGCAGGGGAGCAGTCCCCAGAATGGCATCAGGAGCAAAGAAAGGGGGATGTGTCACTATAGCAACAAGGATGCTCTGGGTTTTGGGGGAATAAAGACATCTGATGCTCATTTTCCGCCCTCAGTCCAAGCTGATGATGTGGTGGTGACCAGGTTGGGCTCAGATTTAAAAAAAAAAAAAAGCCTCCATTGGTCTTTGCGCTGTTAAAACCAGGGCACGGTCTGCTTAGAAACCTGCCTGCGGCTTAGATGTCACCAAATTCTGTCTCCACGTCCCTTCAAGTGCCGTCCGGTGGCATCTGGCAGCAGGACAAGGTGACGGGGCACCTGGAAATGGTCTGGAAGCTGCAGTGCAAGGGAAACCCAGTTGTCCTCCACTTTGCTGCTTCCCCCGGAGGCACTTCAGGATTTTATTTCCCAGGAGATTGTGATGTGGCTTGGAAACAAGAGACAGCAGAAGGATGCCCGTTGTCCGAGGTTATGAGATGGAGAAGGTGCCCTGGCTTCGTTTCAAGGCTGAATCTGCAGGGACTCATTTCAGATTTATTTCTTGCTCCTCAGAAGGTTGGAAACCTGTTGGCAGCCATGCTTTTTGTAGCCAGGTGCCTGCCCCGCGGCGAGCTGCTTTTCGGCACGTTGCTCGGAGAGGCGACGGTGCGTGGCAGGGGGACGACCTGCCAGCCACAAAACGAGAGTCACAAACACCCCGCTTTCCTGTTGCACCAGAGCCTTTTGCAAACACAGCCTGGGAAACAATATCCTCCAGCGGCCGAAGGGATTTGGGTGCAGTGGTTTCGGGGGACAGGACTGCATAGGCACCTGCAAATGGCAGGATTTCCCACTCCCCCCCTCCCCTGGGGACAGCGGGGCAGCTGCTGCTGGGACCTGCTCCCAGTTGGGACTGGGCCAAGGACCTCCTGTGGCTGCAGAAGCTGGTCTGGGGAACCAAGACCCATGTCTGAGGAAGGTCTTTGCCTCCTCGAGCCCCGCAGTTCCTCTAAAGAAAGGGATGAGGAACCTAAAGCCACAGGGATGCTCCCACTGAACTGAGACATGCCGCACGGGTCCTAGCGCAGAGCCTGAATGGACCAGCCAAGATCCGTCTCCAAAGAGGGAGAAGGCTTGTCTCAGTGCCGGGGTGCAGGTGTATCAGCCCGGGAGCTGGGTGGCGATGCACAGCCATCCCAGGGCACTACACGGCCACCTGCGCCCCGAGGGAAAAGCCGGCAATGCCCAGCTCCAGCCGAAGAAGAGCCCAGTTTTCCAGTTGGGTGCAGGACCCAATACCTGATCTTCTCAAGAAGATCACTCTCAAGCGCTTTAACGACCGCTCCCACGACTCACTGGCTCTGGGCTGATAAGAGGAAGGCAGCAGTGCGAAAACCCTGCTGTTCTTCCAAGGGCCAGATGCCATTTTCAGTCAGCCATCCGCCTGTCCTCTCAGACTTTTCCTCCTGGATAACCTTCCCACATAAACTTCACAAGGGGGTTTGCATCCTCTCTGCCAAGGCTGGACTGCTTACCAAAATGCTGAACTATTAGTTGAAACTTTTCCAGCTCTTTTTACTCTTTTCTCCTCTTTTCATTTTTCTTTCCTCTTTTCGTCTTCCCTTCCCCTCTTCTTCCCTTCCCTTCCCCTCTTCTTCCCTTCCCTTCCCTTCCCTTCCCTTCCCTTCCCTTCCCTTCCCTTCCCTTCCCTTCCCTTCCCTTCCCTTCCCTTCCCTTCCCTTCCCTTCCCTTCCCTTCCCTTCCCTTCCCTTCCCTTCCCTTCCCTTCCCTTCCTTCCCTTCCCTTCCCTTCCCTTCCCTTCCCTTCCCTTCCCTTCCCTTCCCTTCCCTTCCCTTCCCTTCCCTTCCCTTCCCTTCCCTTCCCTTCCTTTCCCTTCCCTTCCCTTCCCTTCCCTTCCCTTCCCTTCCCTTCCCTTCCCTTCCCTTCCCTTCCCTTCCCTTCCCTTCCCTTCCCTTCCCTTCCCTTCCCTTCCCTTCCCTTCCCTTCCCTTCCCTTCCCTTCCCTTCCCTTCCCTTCCCTTCCCTTCCCTTCCCTCCCCTCCCCTCCCCTCCCCTTCCCCTTCCCCTTCCCCTTCCCCTTCCCCTTCCCCTTCCCCTTCCCCTTCCCCTTCCCCTTCCCCTTCCCCTTCCCTTCTTAAAAACCCCCCAAAACAGGAAAAAAAAGCGCTCCCCCCAAGCCGAACTCCGACTGAAGCGCTGCCCACCCCCCGCCCCCGCCGGTGCCGGGACGGCCGCGCGCTCCTGGCGCCCCCTGGCGGCGCCCCCTGGCGGCGCCCCGCCCGCCCCGCCCGCCCCGCCCGCCCCGCCGGTCCCGCCGGTCCCGCCGAGCCTCCCGGCCCTTCCCGGGAGCGGCGCTGCCGCAGAGCCGGCGCTGGTGTGTGCGGGGGTGTGCGGGGTGTGCGGGGGGGGGGGTGTCCCCTCCCCCCTTCCATTGCCCGGCCCGGCAGGGGGGAAACTGAGCGTGGCCAGAGCCCACATCTGCTTTTTCACTTTCTCCTTCCCCTCCGATTTTTTTTTTTTTTTTTTTTTTTTTTTTGGAGGAGGAAGCAAAAAGCCTCCAGCTCCCACCTGCTCCCTGCCCAGCCCTTGCTTCCCCTCCGCCCCGTTCCTCTCTGCTGCCAGCAGGAGCCTCTCTCTTAATTTTAATGCCTCTCCTTGCTGGCAGAGCCCCTCCCGGGGAGCGGGGCGGGGGGGGGGATGTTTCAGAGCAGAGCGATGGACCCGACACCACGCTGTACAGCCTCGGGATGTCAGCTCTTGAGGGGAAGGTGCCGCCGGCGTCGCCACGGAAGAAGAAAAAGCCAAGTGCCCACGAAGTAGAAGAGGACAGCAAGAGATTTTCAGCTCATCTTTCTTCCACGCCGCCCCGCATCCCCCCCCCACCCCTCCAAGCTGTTATGCTTAAAAAAAAGCGGACGTAATTAGGGTGGGAGCTTGGTGGGAAACTCAGTGTTGACAGCTGATGTGCTTTTGATTGGCCTCTGCACATGCTGCCCTCGCTGCCTCCTGCAACCTCCCCCCCCCCCCGCCAACGTGTGCAAGATCTTCAAACGACCCCGCTCCTCATTTTCTGTTCCTTTTTCAATTCTGCTTCTCTAAAACTGCTGAGGGTGAAATAAAGAAGTTAGCTCCATTTTAATCATCGCAAACACTTCCCAAACCTCCAACGCAAAGGTTCACTTTGACATGATGAGAGCAGCCGGGGCAGGGGGATGTCTGGCGAGACAAGAGGCTGGCAATAAATAGTCACACCAGCAGAAAATGCCTCTCGTGTCCCCGTCCTGGGGACAGCCAGCAAGGCCGGTCTGCTGCTCACCCGGGTGAGCAGGAAGCCTTGTGCTTTCTCGTTTGGCTTTTTAAGTCCCTGGCACAGAGGAAAAAAAAAAGGCGAGTGAGAAGAGAGCGGGGAGCACATGCAGACTGCAAGCGTGTTCGTACTGATGCCGTTGGCTTTGGAGCTGCACTGCTGCGAAAAAAAAAATGCCATCAGGCACCCGTCAGCATCTTAGAGAGGTCAGCAGCATCCTCAGCTGGGTAAAATCCGGGGCTCCCTGCTCTCTACAAATGCAGGGAACTCCCTGTCCGAGCACCCCACTCTCCCAATACACCATTCGAGGCAGGGAACTCTATTTAGGATCAACCAAATAAAGCTCCTTTTGCCTGGTGTTCACGGCTGGGAGGCTGACCCAGACTGACAGCAGGCTTGTCTTCCTGACCAGCCTGCGTATGGAGAGAAACCCCCTGCGAAACAGAGCTGACTGTGCTAAACAGCACCAGTTACCCACTCGGAGCCTTAGTGGGAGTCTGCAAAATCATGACTTGCCTCATTTTCTCCCCTCCGAAAGAGGGAAGTGAGAATCACCTTTAACTGAGAAATACCCAGCACGGAGAAAACCCCGGGGGTGATTCAGGTTTTTGGGTGCTCAGCAATCCAGCCGTGCTGCCCGCTGG